ATGCAATCTGTGCAACAAAAGGAATCAGGTGCACTGGGCTGACAGTGGTGGTGAAATCGAGCCTAGGCATAATTGGGATGACTTTTATGGTGATGGTATCAGTGCTTGTTGTATTGATTCATTTTTTTTTAATCCTGAAGGGGAATGTGTACTAGCTTGAATGGTAACTGGACATAGGGACCCTTATTCAGGAATTAGAGTTCCACTGTGAAGCAGACTTATACAAAAAATTTGGTTTATCAGGATAATTTACATATTACAGTAAAAAGACCATAGAGTCATTTATGTTGATCTCTGTCCCTGCTCAGCCCAGCATGTGCAGATATCTACACAAGATTCAGCATAAGCCAGAGTCTACAATAGCTGTACCTTTTCAGCTTAAATGAAATTTGCCTGAGAGGTACCTTTGCCATCTTCACATCAGTCTCTGAACAAAATGATGAGCAAGTTGCAGTGTGACTTCCTAAGATGACAGGACTGGCACTCTGGAGCTGTTATAATACTAACAGTTTGGGCTTTTTTTTTTTTCTTTTTTGGTAAAGATGAGTCTCGGATGAGCACAGAAGAACAGCTCCGACGCCTGCAAGAGGAAAGGATGTGCAAAGTGTGCATGGACAGAGATGTGTCTGTTGTGTTTGTTCCTTGTGGCCACCTGGTAGCTTGTGGAGAGTGTGCCCTCAATTTGAGATTGTGTCCTATCTGCAGAGCAGTCATCCGGGGAACTGTGAGGACTTTCATGTCCTGAACGATGATGTGCCTAAGGGGAAAGATAAGTCTATACAACTAATTCATAACACAGCAGAGGAAGAAAATAAGACAATAGTTCGCTTGATGCTGGAGCAATCTTATTTGCAGGGTAGCTTGGCATAAGTGTAAAAACTTACTAAATGTGCCTTCTATGCACAGTGTTTCTAGTAAGAGTTGCTGGTTTGCTGTACTTTTGCTGATCTTGCTGTAGGACTGCTCCAGAAAAACCTCTGCTTGTTTCTTTTGTCCTCCAAAAAGGGACTTCCGTTGACAGAGATTCTCCTTCTCCAAATTATTGCATTCTCAAATGAATCCCTGCTCTGTGTTGAAATCAAGGGCTGTTTTCAGTAGACTGTATCTGGTTCTTTTTCTCTCATTTAGCAGTTGTTTAGAGATTATTCTGCTAGGGTTGATGATTTCCTTCAGTGTCTAAGTCAAAATGGGAGTATTTTTGTACAAAATGTATTCTGTTGAGACCAGAATACTCAGCAGCGATGTATTGTGGGGGCAGGAGAATCTAGCTTTTTCTTCTGAGCTCTTTGCTGTATTCCCCCCCGGTTGAATTGTCAGCAATTGATGGAATGTTTCAGTAATACTCAAATCCACATAACTCAGTGAAAAGCCTGGCCTGTTGTAGACTCTCCAACCTCTTTACTCTCAGCTGACCACCTCCCTAGACAGAAGCTGAAAGGCTCTTTGGTCAGGATTGCTAGATGATCTCATGGAAGCTTCTTACAGAGCCTCTTCCCTGGCTGTTGGGTACTATCCTAACAGAAGATAACTATGGAAACTTACCATTTTAGGACTTCCGTTTGCTGGCTAAACTGGTAATTCTTATTTTAAATGGAACATTCTATCATGTAGCCAAAAAGAGAAAGTTTTGTCAATACTATAGCTTGTTAAGTGCAGGGGAAAATAAATATGTTGTTTTTAAACTAACTGTTCTTTCACTGAATAAAAAGTTTTTCTTTGGTTTATCTTACAGAGGTCTGAGTATCTGATTCTAGTATAATGCCCTACTGGGGGAGGGGGTGTGGTGGTGTCCTAAGATGATAGTGGCATCAGGTTCTAGATCACTTGAACTTCTGTCCTTCAGTACAACATGGGAATGAGTGAGAGAAGCAACTGTTCTTACCATCCATTGGCTTCCTTTTGGAATCCACAAGACAGCATGTGGGTCTTCCAGACTCTCTTAACCGCAAAAGAAGGTGTAAGGATGGAGGAGGATGCAGACCTGATATGTGAAGCTGTGTAAGTGGGGAATAACTCCGCATCTGAACTCAATGCAGAGTTTTGATACGTGGCTCTTAAACACATCCGCGGAGACTGGAGCAGTGGCTCTGGAGTTGCTTCTGTTTGGTTCCAGCCCTGGATACTGACCAGGGTTATAGGTGGTATATAACTTTATAGGTGTCAGTTATCCCTGGGCCATGTGGGAGGGCAGATCTTTCCATCCTTGTCTTCCAAAGAAGGTAATATTAATGCAGCTCTTGGCAAAGATGAGAGAAATTCCTGGTTGAGCAGTTTAAACTCTGCAGCTCTTGGAGGAATTGGTGGGTCTTTGCCAGACAGCAACTTTCAGAGGGAACAGAATTGCACCGCCATGCTAAATTAGGTGTTGTGTCTGGGTTCAAGCTATCATTGGCTTTATTTTGCCTCTGTAAATAACAGCAAAAGCTTGCAGTTTAAGTAGATGTGCTAATCTGAGAAGGGAAAACAAAACCAGCTCAGTGTTGGAATAGCATTATTTCCTCCTGAACTTTAGCTCAGTGGGGCTGGAACCTTGCCTGAGCATCAACAGGACTACAAGGCTGTAAATATACCAGCTATTTCTGGGGCTTCTTTTATTTAACACTTTGAAAATTATGGCTTTTCCACATCTGGAAGGGTGGAGCTGATTTTTTTTCATTGGGAAGATGTCCCTTCAGAAAGAGGTAGACATTGTTTGTTGATGAGCAGTCTCTCAAGTGATGCCTATCCCCAGTAGAGGACACTCCTAACCTGGTGATAAGGGAACCCACTGGAGCAAAACCTTCAGCTGCTCCTTACCCTGACAGCATGCTGGAGATGCAAAGGACTGAGTCCCTGCCCTAACAGAACAGGGTTGTTGCATGACCTTGCAGTACTTAGAGTAGGTCTACCACAAGCAGACCAGCAGGAAGGGTTGTCAGAATATGAAGGATGAATGTCTCTGCTAATGAAAACTAGAGAAGGTAATTAAGTGTGGAATATGATCTGTGGTAGCTTGTCTTACTTTCTTCTCAGACTGATTTTTTTTTTTTTTAATGATTTATGGCAGTCATTGATACTACATATAGGCTTACCTGAACCTTTATTTTACTTCTATTAAAAGATACTTGGTTACCTGTGTTTGTCATAACATAGGGTGGTAGTTATGGAGCTCTATGCATTCATCACACTTGTATTTATTTAATTGATCTTCACCAGTGTGTATTACAGTCAAGAGGCATGCTGTTAAGTGCATAGTTTGATGCTTAGTCTTTTTAGAGTACTTGGCAAGTGGTTTTGATCAGCTTTTTTTAGTAAATGTGGCATCAAGGCTCGGTCAGTTTGAGATGTATTGTGTTAAAACCAAGCAGAACTCAAAATAACTCAGAGTTTCTTCTGACTTTGTACTACCATCTAGAAGAATTGCTTCCTGAAACTACTAGTGAAATGTTTCAGCTGTTCAAAGCTGAAACTGTGCTTTCTCCACCATCTGTGCTGAATTTTGGTTGCACTTGAACAAGGCCAATAAAGAAGGCTGTTGTCTGATGGACAACGTTTCTCTCTGAGGAAAAGAAATCATATTAAATTAAAAAGTGTAAAGTCAGTGCTTTCTGATGAGGAAAGGGAAGATTAATTTCAAAAGCCTCGTATAAATGAAGGCTTTCATGGAACAATCTCATTGACTAGAGGACATATATTCTTCCATTCCTTTTTCTGCCCCTCCAGGGAACATCAGATGGGCAAGTAGGAATGAGTGTAATATAGAAATGAACTCAATCAAAGAAGAGGTGGAGAAAGTGCTAAGAGATTGTGTATGCATGCTGTCTAAATGGTGTAGTAGCTTGTGTTCCACTGATTTATTTTTTTTTAAACTTGGTAGTGGCACAGTGTTGACTAATATGGGAGGTAGTTATGTTTTGTCAGGCAGAGCTGTAAAGAGGGTTGAGCGTTTTCTTCCTCAAATGATGAAACTGGTATCAAACCAGCAACTGTCAGCTGTCTGTTCTGCTCAGTCAGAAGCTGTGGCCTCTACTGGCTAAAAGAAGGAAAAATACCTATAGAAGACAACACTTTTACTTGCAGCCGCACCTGGTCAGAACTTGGGATGTTAGGTTGCGGTGGGTATCTGGAATGGAAGCTGCACAGAAACAAAAAATGTTCTCTTAGTGCTTACACTTTTGGATTTACAGGAGAGGGTTTTGCTTCCTGGGCCCTTTGGAATGGGACAAAGAAAGGTTGCATCAATGTGTCTTTGACTTAGCACTTAATGTTTTTATTTCTTTTAATTCTTCCCTCAATGTCTCCTCCCTAGCCTGGCTTCTAGCTTGACTCTTCTGAAAAGCATTACTCAAAAATGCCAAGTAATCTCAAACAGATTAGGCAAGACAATAAAGAATCACAACAGCACTTGGAACGTACCAGCCAAAGAACACCACGGATGGCTGACGAGTGCTCTTTCTCTGCTTGACACTTAACATGCTGGCAGATGTAGCTAACAAAACTGACATTGGTTTTTGTTTGTTTTTTTTTAATTAATTGCTGCAGCTTATTAATGCAACTTAATTACACTTATATTCCCCTTTTCCTGCAGCCCTCCCCTCAAAATTATCCTGTTGCAAAAAACCCTTTCCATCAAGACGTTGCCAGGCTTGTCCCTGGAATAAGCGCGGCTGCTCGGTGAAGAAGGCAGGTGCAAAACCATCTGTGATCCATGAAGAACTAGGCATTTTCCAGTGTCCTGCAGCAGGCTTCAGCCATGTCTATATGGCTACACCAGTGTTAATTTAGCGCAGATGGACAAACCCAGAGTAAGCTACAGCTGCTCTGAGAATGGCTTGGCATGTTGAAATGGGGCTAAGCTCCATGCTGAGTAAAGATTTGGTGCTTGTACTAGTTTTTTAGCTGTTCAGCATTATAGGAGTTAGGTCACAGAACCCTGAAATCCAGGACAAATGCCTACTGCTAAGGTGCCGACCATGTCTAATGAATAGAGAATGAGGAAGGGAGTCCTGGATGGGTTGGGTGGGGAAGAAGGGAAGAGCTTTCATCTATAACTTTTTTTTTTTTAAAAAAAAGCCTAAATAACTCAAATGTAAATAGCCCCCACCTAGTTCTGTAGAGGCAGGGAGAAGATGAAGTTGTGTTAGGGGTTTAGGCTCTTTTCCGAACAAGGGAAAGGAGAAGGGGAAGAAGCTAACTACAAAACATGAAATGTCCCGGGGTGTTATGCAGTGCTTCCTTCTTTATGGATCCATGGCACAAGGAAGCAGCTCTGACTTCAACTTTATCTCTTGAGAGAGGCTCTCAGTGAACTTGTTCTGCCTGAGGTCTTCAGGCCTGTGCCATTTATTGGCTAGTACCACCAGGCTACGGTAGAAATGGTTTGTCAGGGCACTTGGAGAATTAAAAACCAACCACATGGCCATTCTTCAATGTACATTCATTGCATTTGAAAAGAAGACAAGGAACAAAAAATGGAATGGAGTTCACCATCCTGCATTTCCTCTGCCAAAGATCCAGGCCACAGGGGATTGTTTCCTGCAGCACCTTTGATGGTGGAGTGCAAGGTTTATCCATCCTCTAGCTCCTCTTTATTTATGCAGGCCTGTAGGGGAAAAAAAAGTGAAGGCAGGGCATCAATGTGGAACAAGTACTAAGTTGCTTACTGAAGGTAACAGAAATGGTGTGGAAATAATGAGGACAAATTTGATTTTTTTTTTTCCTGTTCTTTTAAATATGATTGACTACAGATGAGGAATAGGATTGAGAGCTCAGAGGTGATGTGGTTAAGTAGTCTTCAAGTCTGGAAGGAATGTTATGCATATACCAGACCTGAATATACTGCAGTTAGGCTAAGGAATAGATATGAGCCAAAGTGTTAGATCTATGTATTCTCAGCATTTGGAGCTGCATAAAATTTGGTTAGGAATTTTAAAAGCTAGGGGTCATCTCTAGAATAAAGCCGCTTCTTGAAATTGTGGTGATGTGCTTTTTGTGTAGATGCAGCAGTATAAGCAGATCTACTTTTGGAGCCAGCAGTAAAGATGAGCAAATGTTTTCAGCTGAGACATCACCTCTTAAACATGCAGCTTCAGGTTGATCAAAAGTTTGCAAATTCCTGTTGACATTCAGCAAATTATTTGTTTGGGAAAAAGTCTACCTAGAAAGAAAAGCAGAAGCATTTTGTTTTGTGGTTTTTTTTCCTCTCCTCAAAACAAAGTGGGATTTTTTTCCTGTTTAAGTAAAAGTTTCCTTCATAAAATATTCTGGTCATCAAACAAAGTTTGAAGGGAGTGGGGGGGGGAAACAATCCTAAAGGAGTTTAGTTTCTTCCCTCCTCCCTCTCCCCCAGTGTTTCAGTCTGGATTTTGTGGGTTGTTTTTTTTTTTTTAATTGAAGAATGTTATTTATGTATGTGTACCTATCAGTTGTCGGTTGATCTACTGAAGAACCTACTTCCAACCTGTAAGTGGATGACTGTTACCTAGGGTCCAGTCCTTTAATGCTGCACGCTCACAGCTGCTTCGTGCCTATGGCTAGCAGACAGGCTGCACCACAAAAGAATTGATTAGGGAGTATTAAAGTGAGCAATCGCCAGCTGGAGCCTTAGATCATTCAATTAACCAATACCTCCTGTTGGTACCCTGTCAATGCTGAAGTCTACATCTGGTACAAGTCACACCCTATGGTCCTTTCCACTGGTAGATCTGAGGAAAGGAGTCAGCGAAATCTGGCTACACAACTAAAATCAAATTAAAGCTCTTAAGCCATAAATGTGATGTAGTACTTGGGGTGCCAGATCACAGTGAGTGTTATGGACAGGAGCCTCACAACTGTGGAATTCACTGCTTGACCTTATAAATACAGTCTTACAAGGCAGGGAGATCTATTGCCCATCTCTCTACCTTTTAAATAAATAGAGACTACCTCCTGTCACCCAGCGGTTTCTTGATTTAGCACTAAATCACGTACAAAATCATGCTTTGATTTTTAAATTCTGCTTTAAAATTGAGATTGCGTCTTTCTGAAACAAATTCAGAGAATGATGTCAAAAGACTGAATGGGTGCAGCAGGCTGGAGGTGCTGACAAATGATTCTGATGATCTGGGCCTCCTGCTGTCTTGGCAGGTATTGCAGGGTACTTGGAGATAGCAGCTGTAGTCAGAAAGTTCAAAGCTGTCTTGGTTAACCCTTCCACAGTTATCAGTGCAAGAATGCTTCCTTGCCTCAAATGATGAGAATTTACTACAAGTGAACAAGAAGAAAAGCAACCCAGAGCTGGTGTCCTGTCCTGTGCAGCCTAAGAGGAGATAGTGGTGCAAGCAGGCATGGCCTGCATTTGAGCTTTAGCTAAGGAGGGGTAAGAGCTCAGCCTTTCCTTCCTGAAAACTCACTGGGAATGTTCCCTTTTGGCCTCAGGAGAAAAACTTTGGTTTTCAATAAGTGATTTATTATCCTTTGGCTAAGTACTTTGACCCAGAAACTCATGCACTGAAGACTTTAGCATATCTTCTATCAAGATTCTGAATAAATTATTATTAAATAATTAGTGCAGTGCCTTCATTGGAAGCAGCAGTGAGATTAAGGGTAATTCTATTACACAGTAAAACTTCCAGAACAAATTTTTCATGATAATTTGAGTCTCTCTTACTTAAGCTTGTGACTTGAAATAGGAACTATCACAACCAAACCCCCCTGGAGTCAATGAAATGTAGAACAGAAGCAGTTGTGGAACCTGAAATAGAAATAACTGTATTTATAAAATTTCATTGTTGCTCTGTGAGTTGGAGGTGCTAATTAAGATGAAGCACACTTAAGTCATGCCTTTGTAAAGCAACAGTATAAGACTGTTGGTTGATTTTGTTGTTGTTGGCTTTTTTTAAAAAAAGAAAAATAACACCTGGCTGTTGGTAATTTGTGAGGTTTTCCACTAACTGGAGACTTGCAACTGAAGTCAAGGAAGTCAGTAGATTACCATGATAAAGCAGGGAGATAACTGGATGGCAGTCTGGAAGTACCTATTATCAGTAATAGTTTGGGGAGATGTTTTTTCCTCCTAGTAGGAGGGAAAGGTATTTAAGAACTTTTTTTAGTGCAGTGGATGGAAGCTGAAGGCCAGAAATGGGGTGTACATTTTGAATACTGCATGTAGCAGCTGATAACCACTGAAGTAGGCTGCAAAGGAACACAGCAGTCTCCCTTCAGTATCTTTGAACTGTGACAGCATATTTAAAAGTTACCTAACTCATAGGCTGTGTGCTTGATACAGAGGTTATGGGGGTTGGTCTTGGACTTAAGCTATGCACATCAGTCTAGGTCAATGTCATTGTTCTGTGGGGCCTTCAGATCTGTGAAAATTCTAAATTTGGAGAGATGAAGAGAGACCAGGGAAAAATGCAAGCCAGGACAAGGGAAAGGGCACATTGGGAGGAGAGGAAAGAGACATCAGAAAAGGACAGATGAAACTAGAGTGAATAGGATAATTCCATTAGGGAATGAGGGAAAGTGATGCTGTTGTGGCAACAGTGCAAGTGCATTATCAGGAGAGCAGCTAACCACTGATAATGGGGTGATGCCATCCTAAAGTGAAAGTTCGTGGTTGCAGTTAGCCCCGTCAGTAGCTGTAGGATAGATGTGGTTTCATTCAGCGTTTCCTTCAACAAAAAGGACTTAAAACCAGAAAGTCCATGTTCCTGACCCTTAGCTGTTCTGTAAATTTAAACTTGAAAGTTGGATGTATTTGTTATTCTGCATCTTCTTGAACAGGATATAAAAAAAAAAAAAAAAAAATGCTTTCAGTCATCACAAAATGATTTTCACAGCAGGACAAAGGCATATGGCACTCAGTGCCCCAGACTGCAAAACTCCATGGCATCATTAGTTGAGAATCAAGTGTCCGTTCCTCCTCTCATTCCTATTCATACATGTGGAAGAAAGGCAATAGCTAGGCTGAAATAAATAAACAAAAATTGCTACTTGGTGGCTGCTGTGAAATTTGTAGAGGGTCACCTTGTCTGTTGCTCAGCAGCTGTTTTCATCTCCTGTTAGCCAGAAAGAAATATTATATTGTACTGGCCAAAGGTATCAATAGATAAGTGATGGTCTGAAGAATGGAACTGAAGAACAATAAAATTATCGGTGTACTTCATTAGTAGCTTACTGTCTTACTGAGACCCTTGTAACGAAGTTTTACGTTGCTAGCTTCTGTTCATATTACAATCTCCCCGTATAGAAAACTTTGTTTATAAGTACTAGCTTCTTTCACAAACAGAATTTGTCATTTTAAGAAAAAAAAAAACCAGCCCAAGCCCCATACTGTAAAAGTGTGATGTTTCTTCAGCACATTGCTGTATCAAGCTAGTAAATCCGGGAGCTGCTTAAAGCTCCACAGCTTCTGCAGACTATGGAAAATTCCATCCCACTGTAACAAAATGAGAGGGGAAATCAATATTTAATCTCCTGTAGCATCCCTTCTAATAATGCTATTGCACCCCCAAAGTTACAGGGAATTTAACTGCTTTGCAAAAATGACTTGTTCCCCTGGTCTTGTGCTGCAGTGACAAAGTGGGTCATAAGTCCATACTACATTAGAGGGGCACATCTACAAATCTATTTGGGGGCAGTTTTTGTTCCCTCAGCCCCACTTTCCTTCCCCATCCTCACATCCTTCTTTTTGGCAGGACCCTCTGGTAACATTATTCCCAGAAAAGATTATTCCCTTAGCAGCTGCTTTAAAAAAATTCTGCACGTTGAGCTGCCTTCTTGCAGCTCGATTATAAGGAGTGTCAAAAATTCGGATCTTATTGCTGCTTTAAACAGATAACACTGGCCTTTGTGTTTGAGAATCTCATTAAGAACCAGCTTTTAAGTGGACTGTGTGAAAGTGTGATCTTGTGCCTTCAGCAGCGGGAAGGGATTATGAGAGGGCAGAAGCTGGGATTCACAATGGATCTCTGTTGGTGGTACGAGAGGAGCTGCTGTGGACGACTCCCCTTCCCGCTCCTTGCTCTCAGCTGAACTGTTGGGATGCCCCACACATAGAAGCCTCTGTTCTTTTAAACAGAATTTAAAATAAGAAATGAAACCTTAAGAGCAAGCCTGTGCCATCCTGCTTACAAACCATCTAATGCTTGCTTTATTTTCATTCACTGATGTGTTAGCTTTGTACCCTACAGGTTCCCTAGAAGTACAAGCAGATACAGGGAGACCCTGTACCCAAGACAGAATCGAATTTTGTGGTGCTACCAGGAAAAGATTATTGGAGGATGGCAAAGACATGGCCAGTGACCAAAATTGCATGGATGTATAGGTCAGAGTTCAGTTATGACGGTCCACAGAGCTAAAATACAGCTTAAATAACTAGATGTTGCATACATTTTACCCCAGTAGAGATCTGTCATTGAGGCTCTGCCACAATTTAACCTTGAGATTGAGAATCTTATTCTCCTATCGCTACGACCTACTCTCAGTATCCACTGAGGCTGACTCTTCCTTCCTCACAGCTCCTATCTTTACCTGCCTGGGCACCGTTCACTGCTGAAAAGCCTCTCTTTGCTTTCTTCAAGGAAAAGGCATCCAATAGTTTGTTTACAATAACATCTGACAGCTGGCCCCACTACTTCCTATCAAACAGTGCTGCCATAAGCCAAGTATGGCAACACCAGCTTCACCCTGGCAACCTGGGGCGAAGCAGAGGCAGTTTCACCCCTTCTGGCATCCACTTGTCCTTTCCTTCCATACTGGAAAAGCCTGCTAGAGAAATCAACCTGCAAGGAGGAAAAAACCCAAACCTGTGGCACCCTTGAGCCATCAAACTAAGAGGCATGCATAGCCTCTTCGCACAGGAGATGATACTTACAGGTATGTCTGCTTGAACAAAAGGTTGGTGGGTTTTTCATTGACATGGTAGAGAGGAAATGGATCAAATCCACCAATGAAATCAACTGAAAAAAAATCAAAACTCAAATAAATAAACAAACATGGCCAGAAAGTTGAAAGGAAATGCGAGAGAAAGTTGGTGCATGTCATGGCATAACGCAAAAATTAGTGAGAGAACAGAAAAATGATTTTTCAGGTATGGACTGCCTGGTGGAAATCTCTGCCTGTACGGACCTCTTTTCCAGGATCTCCTGGGATGGGCAAAAGCGTGCCAAGGAGGACGTTCAGCTAGCACAAGACTTAAAGCAGAGAGCTAACAAAAGACTCCAGGAAAACAAGAGGGCCTCCCTCAGCCTCCTTGGATATTGCCACCACGCTGTGACTTCACACGAGAACTGCGCTGACAAAGCCTCAGCCATTCAGCGATGCGCTGAAAGGAGGAAGCTGGGGAATGGCTCGCGAGTGAATGCCAGCGGAGAAGTTGGCAGCACAGCAATCCCCGTGAAGGTTATGTAGTGAAGTGGGAATTCTCTTGCCCCACTTGTCTTTCCTGCAAGACAGACATCAGCAGCTTTGGAGAACTCCAAACACCTCATTATCTTCAGCGCTGATATTTTTCGCGTCCCCTCTGCCAACTAAATTTCTTTTAATTGTATACAAATAGGAACAATGCTTCCCTTCTCCAGTATTCACAGAAGGGCAATGTAACTAAACAAGGGAAGTTTTAAGTGGCGATTCCCTTAGTAACCATAGAAGAATTTTCCAAGGCTCTCTTAGTCCCCCTGAAATTAGGCCAAATCTGTATTGCTGAGCTGGCCAACATAGCCGGGTCGGTAGGGGTATGATGTGGTGTGATTTGTGACTGACCTAGTAGGCCTTGCAAAAACCTTTAAAACAGATCCAGCTTAGACCACTTTTTGGTGCCAAGTTAGTGCATTTTGTTTGGAAGTGTGAAAGCTATCTGGTCCAAATGCCATTTAAAAATAACTGGAGAGTCTTATTAACTATATAAATGCCTGTTTATTTTTCTTTCCTGAAGGTGGCACTATTATTTTAAATTTTAGCTAAAGACTTTGATATTTTTTAGTGAACAAACAACAGAAAAAATATTTACTAAATATATTGGAGATAAAAAACCCCTGCTCTTAAAATATATTTAGAAACCCAAGGACAACGTATTCTCGCAAATTCCATCTTGATGGGCAGCTTCATGCCGACACTGTGATTTTGGAACAACTGTCAGTTAATGGGCAAAATCTGTAGAGGTTCTACGTTAACTGGCAGGATAATTCCCAGTAGTTCCAGCGAGACTTGACTTTTTCTCAGCCACTTTTGAAAAATATTTTGTTTGAGTATTTTAAAATCAAGACAGTCTGCAGTTTTAAAAAAGAGATACTGACTATAGTACCTCAGTTGTGGAATGTCTAAATTAGGAAACCTTAAAGAATTGGAGTTCTCAGTAACTGTTTAGTACCTTGAACAAACAAAAGTCCTATAATCGGAGCACCCAACCATGGAAGCACTCAAAATCCAAGTCACTTAAAAAAAAAAATCTTAACCGTGGTTCATTGTTGCAATATATTACAGTGCATTAGCACATCTAAACTGTTCTTGCCCACAATTCAGCATGAGTAGATCCCTACTGCTGTGTTTTCTCATGAAAATCACGTTAGCATGAGCTTCCTGATTAATGTGCCTCAGCACTTATAATTACTTCATGCTGCATATCAGAGCAACATTTAAAGGAAACCACAAATGGAAGAGAAAATTAAAACGCAGCTCGAATTTGTTCAGGTCACTGGAAGGATCTACCCCTGTGAGTGTGAAATATTGATAGTTTATCATTGTTAATTATTCAAGCTGGCATTTTAACTCCAAGATGGGAAACTGGGAGGGAAAAGGAATTTGTTAGTGGGAAAAAAAATAAGTATCCTGAAATTAACAGCTCTGCATTTCTAGGTAATGCTTCCTTCCATGTGGTTGCCTCTCCTAACAGATCCCTACTATAAAAATCATCTCCATCAAGTTATTACTTTACAATATTCAAAAGGGGCCCAGAACTCAAGCTATTTACCTAATAGAAGAGCTATAGGGTAATTTTTAAAATACTGCTTATAATGCAGCACTTTCACTAAGTGCACTGCCAAGCTCTAAACAAATGATCAATAAAGTCAGTAGAATGAGTTCAGCCACACAGGAAGCAACAGAAAAACATGAGGACAAGTCAGATAAGCAAATGCATCTCATCTCTCTCCTATGAAATCAACATTCTTCACATACTTTCAAATATTCAGTTCAAAGCTGTTATTTTTCAGCTAAAATCCAGAGCCAGCTGCTCTTTAAGACAACAAAGCTACTTGCACAAACCTAATGGATGTCTTAAAGAAGTGGTACTTGGATGTAAAGCCTTTGGATCAGATCCTTACCTGGAATAAACTGGCCTAGACCCATTGCTTTCGGTAAGACTTTACCGATTCAAACATGCTGAGAATTCAAACACGGAAAGGCAACACATTGCCAAAGAAATCAGACTGCACATTTATTTGAACCCTATGCATCCGTTCTTTTGTTTGCAAAATTACTGCGCTCAGAGCGAGTTTTAGAGGGGCGAAGTAATCCAGGACCAGGTCGTAGATACCTGGATAGATCCCACAGACCCAACCACCCATGTGATTCCTCTGAGTCTTTGCTCTTCTCTGACACACGTCAATACACTTAAGATATTTGTATACCAAACGTGAGAGTCAGCTCCCTCCTCCGTCTTGTAATTCAGATACACTACTTCCTCTGCTTTTAAATTAAGCGGTCAGGTTGGTTCTTGGCAAGAAATCTCACGCTCTGCTTCACCCTCGGCTTGTGGCATATGATACTCAGCAGGTGGCCTACCTGAGCTCTGGGCTGTATTATTTCAGCGGCATTAAGCTAGGTAAGCTTGAGAACAGAAGCAGCTACCCAGTTTCTCTGAAGCCTAGCCTGAGTGAGTAGCCAACACCAAGCTTTTGGGGGCTGAAAGAGTAGCAGAATTACAGCATCTAACAATGTGGTCACATGGGGGGGAAAAAACCTCACAGTAAAAATAGCTGGACTTTGAAAGGTAGGTAGTGCCATATCACATAGGTGGAGAGATGGAAAGAAGTCTGATGGCAGCTCAGTCCTGATAGACAAACATCCGAGAGAGAAATAAAATTTAACAAAACCTTTGCCAAGGGATCTGTTGATAAATACTTACAGCTGTCTTCTTCTTCTGTAAAAACACTAACAACGTAACAGGCGTAGACAAAGCCCACCAGCTGGAAAATAGAGAGAATAAATCATTTTAGCATCAGTCTTGTGAGACTGGTCAAAACCCACTTGGCACGACTTCAACAGCCAAAACTTACTGTCAGCTTGGCAGCATTACTGTAATGGCGAGGCCAGGGCATATTTGCTGTGAGGTGGGGGGTGCAGGTGTAGGCTGAAGGGAGGACACTGCTGGGAGCATACCCAACGGTCCAAACGAAAAACTTGCAAGACCCATCCTCACCTTCAGAGTAGCAGCCTGCTGTGGCTAGAATGACTGGCAAGAACATGGGCCCGCTCTGTTGACATCGAAACTACCGTGCTAAGTTTTCTCTCTGTAAGAAGTGCTGAGGATGCAGGAGAGCGCCTTCTGTAACGTTTTAGACAGACAACTGCGTACAGGACAGACGCACAGACATGCAGGGGTAGGTTTTATTAACAGAGGTCCAGGGACAAGAACTCATGAGCTCTGTATTGCTGTCGTAAGGGGTGTGCAAAGAAATTAATTTGGTGCAGGAGCTACCAACAAGATGCAAGTAGTTCTTACGCAGATGAGATAGAAACTTAGTTAACCATAAAAATGGTGACGTACTGGCAGCAATGTTCAGAGACCCTGAAATCTTTAACTTAGGCTTGGAGATCAAAAATTCATTGGAAAGAAATCCCAGTCTTACTCTAGCTCTACAATTTCTAAGGTTCTTTCTATCTTTGGTGAATAAACACTTCTGCGTGGACTAATCAAGCATCGTCCCTGCAAAGTAAATGGGCCAGAGCACAGTAAGAAACAGACAAGAGGATAGCAGTGGTCTTAATTCACAAATTGCATAGGCTAGCAATAAGTTGCCACCTCCTGGGAACCAGATAGAAGCAGAGAAGGAGCAGTAAAACAATAGGGTGCCTCTCAAAAAACAGCCGTCCTGGCATGGTGGCCCTCACATCAACCCATTGCTCAGAGCAGTCTTTAGAGCAGAAAACCAGAGTGAATGTTAAAAAAGCAGTTTAGAGTAGCCTGGTGGGTCTGTCCTTAGTTGGTAGTTTGTAGAAGCTCTACAGCTCAGAACTGCCTCATTGCATTTCAGTAGCAAGGTGTTACTTGGCCTGAAGAGAGACACAAACCTGGTACTACGGGAGTTAAGCATTCGAGATCCAGCAGGGTTTTATTTTGCTTTGCCTTCTTCCCGTTAATCAAATATCCTCTCCATCCTTCATTTTACATCTTTACATAACACCCCACTTAGCGAGATCTTGGTTGACAGTAACTATATTAGTAAAGTTATTGTGAGACGTAATTGTTTTCCACTGTGAACTCAATTCTTTTGAACAAGAGTTAGAATGTAACGTACAGTGACTCACTCTAAGGGAAGACAGAATGATGCATGGTAGGGCTTGAAAAGTAGAGTCCATTCATTTTTAATATGACAGAAAAATACATCACGCCAGAAAACAAAAGGCAAGATAATGAGATTTCTACTGGGGAGTTATAAGGCACTCGTGATTTCTCCAGCTCTCCCTGACAAAACACACCTTGTTGGAAGGAAATGGAATGTTTTTGTACCATCACTAAACCTTGTAGTTCCTTTACAATTTTCTACAGTCACCTGGAAGACAAGCCAGCTCTCTCCTTTCCTCTTGGGTGAGCCTTATGGAAGCACGTCCCAGGACCTCAGTGGAGGAGAGGTACCTCTACGCACTCACCATTCCCCCGCTGTGCATTTGTGAAAACAGGGCTGCTTCATACCGAGTTTCTAGGAGCTACAGAGGACTTCATGCAGGGGGGGGAAAGGAAAAAAAAAAAAATCCTTCTGGGCATGATGGTAACTGCAAAGCCACATGCAACGGCCAATCTAATTTTACCTGCTGACTTTTAGAATTGGCTCCGAGTAGAACCATTGCTTTTTAAAGGCAGACAAAAAAAAAAAAAACCACAAAAAATCAGAATAATCAGAGATTTTTCTTCTCTTCTATTGCTTATAGTGTGCTAACTGAAAACCTGGGGAATTTATTTTTCTTCCAGCAGGTTGTGGTAGTCTGGGGCACTTTTGGAACTGGCCGTGGTGCTGACGCAGCCCCTGACGCTGCTCCCGTTGCCTCGCGTCATGAGGAGGCTTAGCTGCGCAATCGGCAATTAGCGCTCATCAGCTGGGCTGCGGTAGCCCACAACGTGGGCGCCTATAGATGCTCTTGGAAAAACCGAGCGCGTCAGCTTAAAGCCGTCCGAGCGTTCAGCGAGATGTCTGAGCACCCGTCCGCACGCCCCGCGCTCCGATGTCAGCGCGTTTGCTCTCGCCCTAGGATCAAATTAGGAGCGTGGTTACACACGTCCTTGTACTTGCTCTAGCATTTTTATAGTTCAAAGATCCAGCCTTGTACATTTTACAGCATGTAAGGTCAAATCATGCAATGTACATACACACAAATATCCAAGCAGGAAAGATGCATCTTGAACGCGAGCCCTGATTCCAAGGGAACTCTAGGAGGGTTTTTCTCTTTCCCCGGATTTTCCATCATGCCTCAGAGTAGGAACTTTGGGTTAATAGCCACGTAAAGTGGCAGCCCTAAATCCATTCACTGTTATTATACTCTATAACATGTAGACACAAACCGTATGCGATATCTGTGTCAGGGAACTCCTGATAGCATTAATGATGAAAATTACTTCCCTGCCCAGTTTATGGGCAGCGTGCATGAACGATTGTCAGCTATACAGCCACAGAAAACCTGGTAAACCTCTGAAAATTGTTCATGGTTCAGAAGCACCAAGCAAGCAGTAAGATTGACTTGGGAAGTTTGTTTTGCACAGAAATTAATGCCTCATAACCCTCAACCATCATTCCTCTCACCTTGTACATTTTTCCTTTATGACTAAGGTGACCTTTCGCACTCAGAAAACCAAACCAACCAACCAAAAGCTAGTGAATTAAGTGAACTTCCCTAAATCTCTAATTCCAACTCCATTGGAGTGATTTCTTTTTTATTTCTTCTATCTCCTGGCTTTGTTTCAAAATTACCTGATTAGTGTTTAAAATTTACTTTTTATTGACTTTCTAACCCAACTGAATTTCATCAATAAAAATATTGTTTATTTAATGGCATTTTTATTCAAAGAATTTTTGCTAGTCTTGTGACCTGGCCAGAACAGGGGAGTTTCAGTGGCAAGGAGGGAAGAGGAATACAACATAAACCTGAATTGCATTTTTATATATGGGCTGACCTAAACCATAATTAAACATATCACCTCAGGGATTAAATTAACTCTTGGGACTTCCCATGTCTCATCTTCTGCATGAATTATGAATGAAATATAGCTGCAGAGGAGAAATGCTGCTCCTATTGTCCAGTCCTTTTTTCTGGAAGAGTCTGGTAGAATGTGGGATGAGCAGACTCCAAGAGACACCAACTGTTCCCTTCTGGCTGCATCCTGGATGAAGATGTATCAAGCCCCCAAACATCACCAAGTTTAGCAGCAATCAAGAGAGAACAGAAGGCTTCGGAGAGACCAAGAATTTGGAAGTAATTTCACCCTTGCTCAAAGTGCCATCTTGGTTTTTTCAATTTCAATACGGAAGAGGGTTTTAAGCTCTGCTATCCCAGGGAAATAGAAATAATTCTTAGATCTTTGCAAAGTATGTAGGGGAGGTGGAAGAGGAGGGAAAATGTCAGTGATGTAAAATGACACTAAGCTATTGCTCTAATTCCCCAAAGAATGTTCTTGGGCTTTAGCCTCTGCTGCTGTTTCTCTACTTGTTCTGCATGTTCAGTACCAGCTTCCTCCAGGCTGCAGAAGTATCAGATTAAGCTTTTTATTAGGAACACATGTTGTAGGCAGGTGTGTTCAGTCAGCCTGTCAGACAGCCTGGGAACAACATGCTGCCCAACAAAAGAGGATGGAGCTGGGATGTCCCAAGCATTCTGCAGGCAAATGAACAGAGCAGGAAAGACAGGAAGAGACAAGCGTGCCCAAAGGGAACAAGGAAAGCGTAAGTCTGTACATCCCTCTGCCCCTCAGTCATCTGAAGTTAACTTTTTATTGGCGAGTTGAAAAGTGTTCACGAATCAGCAGCAGTGAACTGAAGTGCTGGAGCCAGGAGGACTGACTTACAGCAAGATCTACAGAAAGGGATCAGCTGGCTGCGAGCGTGCAAAACACGTAAAGGCTGGGAAGGCAAATTTTAGGTGTTACTGTTGCTTGTGTAAAATCTTAGCTTTCATCTACATCTGTCCTAGTGAAGATTCTGGGCTCTTCAACTCTTCTCTCAATAGCAAAATTTGCCATTGGTTTTTCCACCACAAAGAAAATGTGCAGAGTCTCCTCCTTCAGAGCAGATGTATTCTAGGTTTCACTTCTGATCAGAGCTAATGAAGTGTCTATGCTCTCATCAGTGCGAGAGGGGGAAAACGAAGAGATCTCTGCTACGAGAAAGCAAAAAGCCAGCTTGTGAAAGAGCTATTGTAACCAGATAGCCAAAAAGAGGCAATCAAAATCCTTTGATTCCTTGACCTTCTTTACTCTTTGGATGCAAAAATGGACCACTGAAAGTCTAGCCTCTGCCAACAGCAAAGCATCTCTTGGGCGCTGCTTCTCACATAACATCTGCTGTCAAGGCTTGCATTGCCGCCTTCCTGGGAACCTTCCAACCTGTCAGTCTGAGTGAAAACAGCAGACAGGCAGGCAGTGAGTTCTCTCAGTTGGGGTTCCAATTTCCATCCCATTCAATGGAGCCTCAGGAAAAGCCTAACCCTCCCCACTCCCAAAACCACCATATGGACAGCCCAGAGCTATGCCAGGTATTTCAAAACTAGAAATCACTCCTCTCCCTGCTGGCTGGCAAGTTGGGTTGATGCAAGATGAAGCCTTGCTAAGATAAAGCAGATTTCTTTTCTTGACAAACTAGTTGTTGTTTCATTTCCTAATTGGGTTGGTAGCATTAGTTTTATAGTGACATTTCTATAGCAGTACAGACTTTAAGATGTTGCTACAGTAAGCTTTTTCCTCCGATGTGTTCCATGCTAAAGCATTGAGAAAGATTTTCATACCGGGCCTTACAGCTACTTGTATCACGCATGGTGACTGATACGCCCAAGTTTGATCGCATTCCAGATTAAAGGAGTTGCTCTTGCCTTCAAGGAACACAGACAAGCTTTGAGCAAAAGCAGACTGAGACCTTATGCATCTTCAAATGTATGCCCAGGAGCAGGATAATACAGTCAGCAGGAGTCAAGATGACAGCCAACACTGTGCTCACCATATGGGTTCAGGTTTGCTTTCCCTCTCCTTTGGCATGCAAGATTGAATTCAGTGAGCCTTACCCCAGGTACACGATACGGTGCACTACAGTTCCTCAACAGTCTCAGGGAACTGGTATTTCCAGAAAACAACCAAAATGTCCACAGCTGGGTGTCGGCATAGTTAAAGAACATGGATTTCTCACTACCATATCTGGGGAAAAAAAAAAAAAAAAAACAACACACAAATCCCCTACCCCACAACTTCTAAAAACTACTAGGCAAAACAAAAAGGTACAGAAAGCACAATTTTGCCTGTCCCTTGCCCTTCTTAACAGGGAACTGACTATTCCCATCTCAAATGCGTGGCAGACAAGGAGGGAACTAGGTCATGTCCCTTGCTGCATCCCCTGAGCCTTCAAGTTCCTAGTCGTGTTTTTTGTACTATTGATCTCTGCAGCACAGGACCTGCCAGGCACTCTGGGAAGGAGAGCAGCCTGTAATAAAATCTGCCTCAAAATGAGATAAAGAGAACAGAAAAAGATACTGGCAGGGATCAAAGAGTTTGACCCTCAGAGACTAAAAAGAGGGAGAACTGGCTGACTGTTTTCAGGCAAGGTCTGAGTGAGAAAGTGAAAAGGCTCGCTTTCTGCCTTACCTCAGCAAAGCAGAGAGGAAGAGCTCTATTTCTCCCACTACACGACAAAATTATATGAGCATTTCGGAGCCAGCAGAAGTTGCAGGCAGGCCTGGGGCTTCAACACTCTGCCTTCGTTACAGGACAAGGAGAAATTTAGTTCACTCTGCACAGCTCAGCCCACACGGCTTTCTTGCATACCAGTATTTTAGCCTCATTTCCAGGGTTTAGGATTCAAAAATCCACTGCAATTTAAATCTCAGGGAGAAGGAAAGAGAAAATATTTACCTAAACCCTATTTGATCTTATAGTTCCCTCCGCTCTCTCCCCATCTGGCCCTTTGTGGTGTTTTGCAGATGCACAGAGAATATCATCATGTGCCTTTGGGAAGAAGCAAAGGAGAAAAACACTCCGAGAGACACAGACTGCTATATATCGATGCGATCGCTTCGCTCAGGGCCATGTGCCTACGTTAGTAAGCTGCCATGAAACAAAGGTCTATTCCAAACAAACTCAGGACCGTTTGTTGGCTGAACCTCTAGCCTGGGGCACAGGGGCTCGTGCCAGCTCAGGCGTTTAGGAAGGATGCTAACAGCGACACTTCTGCGCTTTAAAAGTCTGAGACGTTCCGACTTCAAACTCTGAGGTGTTTCACCAAACTCAGGAACAGCACCAGCTCGGCAGCATCAATCCTGTTCCAGCTAACAGCCCTTTATAAGAGACACCAGGCCCTGTTCTTCTGGATACGTAGGTTTTGCTTCGATGCATGTGAATGAGAAAGGCACTCTCAGACAGTTTAATGCAGATCGTTTTCCCTGAAGGAGGAGTAACCAAATATTAACAGCCAGCACACACGCCAGGGAGTCCATCCAGCTCAGGAAACAGGAGCTTCTCTGTCTGCCTCTTTTGTGAGATGGCAAGAAAGGGGTCTGAGTCTTCCCCTCCCTGCAGTTCACTGGGTCATGCAGATCATCCCAGCTAATAGGAAATGCAGGATCAGGACAGTGGAAAGTTGTACCAAAAACGTGCAGAGAGGTACTTGGCACTGCAGAAGCTTGGAATTTCTCTGTTTGTTATCCTTTAACATTTAATCAGGGCAAGTTGCCCTTCTGTAAGCCAAAACTGAAAGCTGACACGTGAACGTTTCACCAGTCCATATCCATTTGTACTTAAAGCCATTAACCACAAAGTAACAAACCAAAGCAGATTAGAAAGGTGCAGGCTGCTAACTCTAATGCAGCTACAAAATGCAAGAGTACCAGCAAAGTAAGTGGGACAATGGACATTTTGTTTCAGTTAATTTCACAGCCAAATGAGAAACAATTAATTAACAGTGAACATTACTGCAGAGTACTTTAAAAAGCCTGTGGAAGACTCCGATGAGAAAACAGTTGATGAAAACACTTAGTGCATATATCTTAGGTGTCAGCAGACAGAAAATGTGCTGCTTTCTGCCTCCTTAAAGTTTCTTAAATTTTCTGGAGATAATGATCTTCTCCCTTTTATTTCTTCACAACAAACATAAACATATGTGCTCCATCACCCATGGCTAAGTCATGTGGAATAAGAGAAATCCTTCTTCAGAAGGGTCTCTGTCCTTGTCAAAACATGAATTTCCACACCCCAACAGAGATATAGAATGATTTGTTATTGTGTGGTTGTGTGTGATGCATTACTTCAGGTGTTAGGTTGCTGGTATCCATTTCCAATTCTTTCAAGCAATAGTGTTCATAAGAGAGAACAGGAGAGCAAACAAACAAAAAAACAATTTACAGAGGCTTTTGCAATCAGATGATACAAAATGGGGTGGAAAATACAGGCCAGCCTCTGTGCCTGGAAAAAAAAAAAACAACCCAAACAGCATCTCCTGAACAACTGCTACCGCGCAGCGATCTCGGCAACGTACTCACCGCGATCAGGATCTGGAAGGAGCTGTGCATGACCTCGATGTAGCGGTACTCCAGGGCACAGCCTATCACAGAGACGTAGGAATGGCTGTCCAGCCCTTTGATGCCAGGCACTGAAGCCTCCTTCCTTACACAGCCAGGACCGTTTTCACTCCACCATGACTGGTGCCGGGAGATGTTGAATGTCAAGAGTTCACTGTCCTAAAGGGAAAAGTTGCCAAGAGATCTCCTTTTACTATAGGAGTGTCTGATATGCTGTCAGATGGAGGTCATGTTAAAAGCAATGGAAAACCTAAAGTTTCTAGGATCCCCACCCTCAAGAAGTGATAGCACAGATCAAAATCATTCATCTTGGCATTGGCTTTATGTTCCTTAGAAGTTTTTCACAGGCAGGCTTCTGTGGTGGGAACCACTTCTGAGGCAGTCCTGCAGCACTCCAACAAATCACGTATTTCACAATCACGTAGCACACTCCAGAATAAGGACTGAGCAGCTTCTGAATCAGAAAGACAGTTTCTAGGCTTGCAGACCCAAGAACACTTTGTCAGTGGTTCCTGCAGACCCGAGAACACTTTGTCAGTGGTTCCTGCACCCAGAAAAGAACCCTCAAGTTTTGGGTTTGGGAGAGTAACCTTGCAAATCTAGAATAAAGAGGTAAACAAGGCAGCACTAGGCATCCTGTCAGAATCATGTGTTATGGGTATGCTCTTCCCAGCATGGGAATCAACACAGATAACTGAAAAATGTGGACTTCATAACCCTAGAGTGGGTTTGAAAACTCAACAACTCTTCCTCTGTTCCTAGCTTTTAACACATCTAACAAATTCCTTTACCATTTCCGTCTGATTTCCTTCCACACTCTTCACATAAGGTGCTTCCGTGTCCCCTCTTGCCCTGACACACCGTCAGCCCCAGGTCAGATTACCCAGCTGAGCTGAGCTCACTGTGATCATTGCAGCTTCTTGCAAACACTTCCCCAGCAATTCCTCATCATCTCTACCCCAAGAGAGGCTTTTTCTTTTGCTCTTCTCATCTTTGCTAGTTCAATCATTTAAACCATGCCACTGTGGGGGTTACATGGTGAAACACCACACAAGTAGTGCAGGAGTTTGGTATGCAACCAGGTGCTCAGTGAAAACTTTCACACTTTCCTCACACTTGAGAGAAGGGTGGTACTCGCTGGAGTACCCGGGAGAGCTTTGGGATTTTGAGCTTACAGGACACAGCAGAGCCCTCCCCGCAGATGGTAAAAGACAAACTCAGAACTGCCTGAACAGATCAGCTGCATCACTTCACGGGTGGGTGCAAAGCGCAGCCCTCTCTGGTCACGTTGACGCAGAAGCAACAGCCCCTTTTGGCCACAAAAGAAGGCAAGGGGTTGGAAATTCTATTCTGAAGGACAGATTATAAAATCCTCAGGCAGAGAATCTCTGTGTCTCTACAGAGGAGAAATAGGTACTGGCTACACACACCCCATCTAACCATTACTAAAAGTTTTAGCACCTACCCATATACTACTTCACACTGCTCATGCCAGGGTCTTACACAGTCCCTGTAGGAAAGAAGCGGCTCCCAGAACAGCAGCAGTCACAGCTTGGGGCATCCACACTTCCTAACATGGGAAACCTCACGTGGCAGCTCCTTTGCCTTAGCTCCCTGTAGAGTCAAGAGGGGAAAAACAGACTCAGAGCAGCTAATCCAGGCTCCTGCTCTGAACTCCCCTCTGGAGAGAGGGCTTGTCTCCACTGCCAATACAGCGAGCCCAGCCAGGTAGTCCTGCAGATACACTTTTCTGTGTCCGAGTTCGTATCCAGGGGCAAACTTGAGCTACAAGCACAGACAATTTGAATTCCAGCCAGAAAACCTGTGAGTAGAAAACCAAGTGCCCCACTGTACACATTGTGTAGGTACCCTCCACTCCACCACAGATACTCAAAAACGGTTTGCAGAGCTGTCATTAAAATATGCTGCAGGAAGCACATGTTAAGAAATGTGGACAATTAAGTGAGAAGACAGCTGCCAAACTCCTGACATAATCACCACAACAGATGGGACGTGTTTTACAGTAGATGGAGGACAGCATGGAGATGAAGTATGGCACCAGTGAAAAGCAGCCTGAATAGCAAAGACAATAGGGAAAACTCTATTAAGAGTTGGGAGTTTAAAGGGAACTGTCTGCATTTTAAAGGCTGTGGGGAATAATTATTAGATTGGCAGCTACAGGATAATACACACAGTGCAAAGTGCTGTGCTATCTACATTTCCAGAGACAGTTTTCCAGCTCTCTCACTATTTTGGCAGCAGAGCCTTTGGCTTGCTCCCTCTGCTGGGCGTCGTTCTTCAGTGGCCCACAGACACCTCACATATTCACCAAATCACATCTTTCCTGCAAAGCTTGTTCTTTCTCTCCCAAGTTTGCATGTTCCGAGACACATGGATCTTCCCCAGCAAAAGCCTTTCCTCCTGGAGCCAGCCAGCCCTCCAAGCTGCTGTGCTCTTCTCCCTCTCACAAGCCACTCACCAGGTTGGTTAAGGAAGGAAAGAATCATCTTTCTCAAAAGAATTAAAAAAAAAAATTTAGAAAGGACTTAATTCCTGTTTCTTTGCCTGAGGCTTCCCCCAATTAGCACAGAAACAAAGCTGTTCCATGGGGGACCACAGGATCTACTCTTAACCTCGGTCCCCAGGGCTTCCCTCTCCCAGCTCACAGATGGTGCCTTCCCAAACCTTCTGCCTCACTGGTGCTAAGCACCGCTTCAGTGCCTTCTCTACTCCTTACAGAGACATCTATGTGTATTTGGCAAAGTAAGAAACAGGCTGCTTTCCTTCTTGAATCTCCCTTTTGTCAGTCTTTATACAGTTGGCTCTGGCTTAACTTTGCTGCAGAAGCTGAACTTGCTTGTGAATTAAGCCTGAAAAAGCAGAACAGGTGCTGGGCTGGAGGTGGGCAGGTGGAGGAACAGTAGGTCCTAAACAGCACTCACTGCTTTTTGCCTACAATCACGCTCCAGCTCTGTGCAAAAAAAAAAAAAAAAAATTATACTTCAGTTAAGAACAGATTGGAAAAACTGAGCACATTTGGATTCTAAAAGCACCACAACGACTTGCACACGAGCCACCCGTCTCACAGATGTCAAGTGAATACTGATTGCACACTGGGACTGTGGATGCCCTCGCATTCAGAGACACCTTTCTGAACAAGCATCTGTCTGGAGCACTGCAGGGCATGAGGACAGCATGAATGAAAGGGTCTCAACATCCAAAGCAATGCCGTTCCTTTGCTCGCGTCCCTGGCTGGATGTCCTCAGAGGATACCTGCACTGATGGGCCACAATAAAAGAGCAGTCAAAAAAATCACTTAATTGACCCCAGCTGCTCAGTGCTTGCTGGGAGACTGGGGGGGGAAAAAAAAAAAAAAATCCCAGGATGTCTCCTGCAGTTGGCAGCTTCATTTGCCAGGAGAGGGCTGAAGCGAAGTGAAACTACAAAATAGGAACAGCACCCTAAAAATCAGGAGAAAAGAACCAGTTGCCAGAAAGTTGTTCCTAAACAGCTGTTTCCCCAAACCTCTCTGCAACACATTTGAAGTCTAAACACGCTGAAATACTCCCAGAAGCGGTATGCAGGTTGGAAGGTGTTACCGAGTCCCAGAAGCGAGCAAGCCCGGCTGCAGGGAGAGTGAGCAATCTGTGTGTAACTGCGCTCCCCCTTGTTTCTTGGCAGGCTGCTATTTGAAGGGCTATCGCTTCCTCTTTAACCTTCAGCCTAAAGAGAAATACGAGCAAAGAGTGATACGATGAGCTCCTTCTCGGGAGCATGTTGAAGGCCAGCCAAAAAAAAAAAAATCACATATCACTCTGGACTGTTGTAGTACCTGGTTGCAATCCATTTGCCATCAGCATGAGAAGGAAGACAGCAGCACTAAAACTGTAGTACCTACATTTTACTGAGTGTTTTCCACTCCCAGCCTCACCCCACTGCATCCCACGGGGAAACTCACACCTACCTCTGACACCCACAGAGCCAGCTGTGTCCGTTTTCTAAAATAGTTTTCTGAAAGCTGTTCTGAAGTGATTTTTCTAGGGGACACTATCAGAGATGGTTTTATTTCTTCTTGTTAACAGCTTTCTGAACTGCCTCCCCCCAAATTTCCTTAATTATCAGGCAAGCCAGCACTATAAAGGCTCTGGAAACAAATTGAACCCTGTATGGGAGCCCCCAGAGCTTGACAGGAGAATAATTTTAAATCTTTTCAGTTGGAAACATTTCTTATCAAAATAGGAAATACAATGTTTAGCTCTTAATCATGTGTGCTGAATAGCTGGATCACCCTGAGACAACAGAGAAGCACTTTCATTGTCTCTCAGCAGGCTTGTTGACACTACCACAGCATTTAAAGGCCAAATCCCAGGCTCCCACTTTCTAAATTTAGATGGAGTTGAGGGACAGTTGTAATTACTCATGCATTTATCCATCCTCCTCACAGTATTTTCTCCAGGTACAAAGTCATCCCAAGATGCCGTCCAGATTCTCTGGAATACAAATAACCCCCCATTTGACTAATAAGGGCTGCTTCCATGTCAAGAGGAGATTTAGACCACCACCACGGCTCTGGATTCAGATCAAAGCACTGGGTAGACAAGAGAGAATATAAAGGAAGGGTAAAAAAAAAAAAAAATCACTATTCCAAGATGAATAATTCCAGAGGGAAAAGACAAAGGAATACATTGAAATACACAACACCAATTCCTCAAACCTCTCTGAACATTTCTCAAGAACATGATGAAGAGTCAATCGGCATGACAGCTGGACAGACAGATGCTCATATGTCTTAACAGCAGGATTTTAATAATTAACTCGGACTGGAGGGGTTGCAGGGGGGGCTGTGTTTCACACTCGAGTAGACAGGGAGAAGCTTAACATGTTATTTCAAGCACAGCCTAGAAACTTCAGAGAGAGCTCCCAACGATTCACCTAACCAAACGGCCAGACGGACAAAGAGAAAGAGAGGGAGACGGAACAGGAACAGACCAGTGGAGGAGGAACAGCAATCTGGAAATTCGGCTGCGAGCCCCACCACAGAGCGGTGGCACAGCACCTTCGGAGAGGCTGCATTTCCCCCAGATGCTGCAAGTTGTGCTCAGAAATGCGAGCGGAGCAAGTCAGCAAGGCAGCGCTGCCAAAAGCCGCTCGGAGGCACATCACCAGCTCACTGCCAGCGCTGAGAAGCGACCCTTCAAATCCAGATTGCTCTATCTTTTGCCTGCTCATTGGCAAAGCTCTTACAGGAAAGCTGGCATAAGGCTGCACGCTTAGGGAGGCCCTTGCGGCAACAAGGGAAGTGCTTTCTTAGACACTTAGGCTGATCCGTTTGTGTCTGGCCACCTAATGAAGTTCTGCTGTGCCATATTTCACACTCTTCTTCCCACTAAGACAAAACTGCAAGACTAAAAGAAATGGCAGGACAGAAATACAGAAATCAGGCCAGTTTAGCTCTTTCAAGAAGTAGAGAATGGATTCACAGAGCAGGAAAGAGCATTTTCCTTTTGGAAAAAATAATTCAGGGTAGCTTCAACTAGTGGTTAGGAGGCAGATAGTTAGTAGGTAGTTATAACTACCCTGAGCAGGGCTGGCTGGAACAGCCATTCTCAGGGTTTCCATGGCCAGGAGAGAGCAAGCACTGCTGGAGGAGAGCACTTTGGGAAAAGACGTGAAAGACAGAAGGAAAGAGAGGGTGAGAAGTGGTGGGCAGACAACCCAACGGAGGAAAGAGTCAGTGGAGAAGTGATTGCTTGGTAAAGGAAAGCGAACAGCCAGCCCCCAAATTGCAGTTCGACAACCATGCCCCTCCAGCCTGTATGCTACTGATGATAGAGTTTATAACTAAGAGACAGTCTCTTAACTCCTTTGCCAAATGGCTTGTGGGCTGACACGGGACCTGGCCTCACAGCCCGCAGCCGCGGTGCCCCTGGTTTCTGTTCTCTGGATCAGCCGGGCACCCAAAGCACGGGGGGCACAACGAGGGGCCGTGCTCGCCTCAGCCCTGTGCTGCGCAGCACTCCCCGCTCACAGCCTGTACTCCCTCAGCACCGTGAGAGCAGGTCTAGGCACCAGCGCACAAAGAACTGTTTGCAATAACTGCACGTAACCATTTCCTCAGTTTTTTCAATTCTTCAGGCTTTCCCTAAGCTTGATACAGCAGAAACACTCGGATCCTTTCCCCCCTTTCTCACCCCACCCGAGTTATCACCTGTCTCCGTTGCACCGGGCCATCGTTTCCAGCCACCAAGTTAACAAACTCCGTTCTTTCTAGCTCACTGCCCTTTCTGCATTTTGTCATGGTAAATTAGCTAGCTGCTGACAGAGACCTCCCTGGCAGGCTGCCCTTGTCAGGAATACGGAGGGGCGAGCGCGGCGCTGGCAGGAACGCTGCTCTCCCACTCCCCCAGCTCTCTCCCACAGGCTCACCAGGAATCACGGAGGAAACAGCACCTGAAGGCCTGCCCTAGAGCTATCAGCCCCTTAAGGGGCTTGCCCAGGAACACAGTCCTGTCTGGAACGCTCCCCAGCACATTCGTGCTTAGACTAGTAGTTAATGAGTTAGTGTTTACCTGACCAGCTCCATCAGCTTCGCTCCACCAAAGCTGCTCTTCTAATATTTGCAATCTACCTGCTTACTGCCAGGCTAATTACAAGCTTTGGCTTCTTATTAGGAACTAAAGGCCAGCTTCCTCCCGCAGCCCTCTGAGTGCACACAGAGGTACCTGCTCCTCTGTGGCTGTAAACCCCCGGCCTCCGCCCAGAGCCTGTTCAACACACGTCCATCCAAGCCCAGGTGTCCTTCTGGGGTCCGATCCCAGAGATCAAGACGACTCCGCAGATGTCAGCTGGCTTTGGGTCAGGTTCCTAGGGATGCAGCGGGAGAGCAACGCTACTCTTTAGTCCAGCCTGCAAAGCACCACCCTGTCCTACAGAAACCTTATTTCCCATTTCAAGCGTATCTTTTGTTCTCCTGTGGAAGTGAGGGGTTTGTTTTGCCATTACAAAGACCCAAATAACTTCAGTTCAAGGGGATAAGGAGGAAAGAAAGGAGGATCATGCGTTTTTCTTACAAGACAGCCTTTTTAAATGAAAAAAAAAAACAAACCCAAAACCTCATTAAGAACAGATGCAAGGCTGTAACAGATTTTACCACCAAACGGGCACAAATACTCTCTTGGTTTTGCCAGTTGCCACCAAGCTAACAACATAAATTTCTCATTGCAGCTCTAGAGGGAAGTCCACTGAGTCAGTAACAACCCATACTGCAGCCCAGTTCTATAAGAATGTCCCCAGTCACAAGAACCATCCTGTAGGCTAAATAAAGGTTCTCTGTGTGCTAGCTTTGCTACAACGAGTGACAGCACAGAGCAAGGTAATGAGGTGAAGCTCCTCTATAGTGGAGAAGGTGGAGTTTGCCATGCTCCGAGTTGCAGAGCGGAACCCAGTGTGTTGCAGGGCAGGCTGGGATTAGTAAACACAAGTAATCAGCTGGCTGGAAGCAAATGCTGGCTGTCAGAGAAGCTCCCAGAGCAGTTTATCAAGCCAATATTTCCTCCGCAGAAGGGAGCATTTAAATAGTTACATAAAATTCTTTTTTTTAGTTGGTCACAGCCAACACAGAGATCATCTCAGGCTGAGCTTTCAGACCATGAGTAATCACTGTTTTGGGCAAGAACTCCCTCAAAGTTTCTGAGGATAATTGAGAGGGGAAATGGAGATTAATTGAGGAATTAGGAAGTTACATTTTCTTATCTGCAAAGGATTTATGCTGTCACTCATGACTTGCTGTAGGCCTGATAAAAAAAACCACAGTGCAGTTCCAATTATGACTGCAACTTAGATGTATGACCTGGGAATTCAGGCCAGATGTAGAGTGCTCTGAAATGAACCTGTGTCCTATAATTGCTCCGAGTCTGCTAAGCTACAGCGACATTTAGTAATTCACTGCTTACAGCTCAGGCTTAATTTAGGGCCTGCCTCCCGTTTTTATTATTTCTGACCCACCCCTCATTAAGCAGACAGCAATACTGAGCTTATCTAGCCTTCAAAGAACTTCACGTATTAACTCGCAACACCCCTGGCCAAGAGCCACGAATAACTACCACTGTATTTAAGGGAAGAATTAAGACAGGGAAGCCACATCATCTCCGAGGCTGCATCCAGAGGAGATGCTCCAGCCTCCCCAGCATCCCCCTGGTTTGTTCTTTGTTCAGCAGAGAGAAGACCCTCTCCCAAAAGGTACAATGGGAAATATTTTGCCTGGTGTAGCAACAACCAGGTGCCTACCCCTGCTGCTGAAGTGCACTAGGTCTTCAGCAAAAAAAAAAAAAAAAAAAATCAAGAACCAGTCAGGTATGGAGTTAGAGCAAAGTCCTTGGTCCCAGTCAGCCCAGGCAGACTGAGTCCCTGCTGCAGCTCTTCCCTGGGACAGGCTGGCAGAGGGAGCACGCTCACTGCTGCAGGAGGGCTTTCCCCTCCGAGTCGCGCACCTTCTTCCCAAGGTGTTACCTGATCACGAGAGGATCAGCTCTAATCCAGTTAGCTCCTAGCCTTCCTCAGCCACCTCACGTCATGGCTGGGAATTGGCCCTCAAGCCCCACCTGCCCTCAGGGTGGCTCTGCTGCCAGGCTCACGCTCACCTTTAAAAGCAAATACGCTCTGCCTCCTGCGAGGGCAGGGCTCGCTCCAGCCACCACCTGCGCTCACCAGCAAAGGACTCCAGCAAGCACTCCTAGCTCCCCGTTTTTACCATTCAACAAGCAGCACTCCTCCATCCCCTCCTGAGGCAGCCTCCTCCACCCGCAAAAGGCAGGAGCTGCTCCCAGGCAGCCACCCCCCGCCTTAAGCACCCCTTCCCTTACCCCACAGCTGAGCTCCAGCACCCTTGATGCAAAGCCCGGGCCCTCACCCACAAAGCTCCTACTCACCTTTGAGAGCCCTCCCACTTCCAAGTAAAAGCAGATGATGAAGATGTTCCAGGTGACCCAAATTGCAGTCCAGATGGCATACTAGAAGGGAATGGAGGGGAGAGAAAGAAGCAATAAACATTAGGAAGTCATTGGAACTGGTTTATACGTATGCGATGCAGCTGGGGACAGTTAAATGCCCCGAGTCAGCACTGCAATCCTTTACTCCTCCTCTGTTTGCTTCCCGTATGCAGATGGTCCCCTGCCTGATTCGAGACACAGGGGCAGAAGTTGGGAGGGAGTGGAAGAGCTGCTGCCGTGCCTTTGTCCAGCATCGCTCTCCCTGTCCGTTGTGCAGTGTCTCGGCGTTACTTTGGTACCAGTCATGATTCTCTGATATCTTCCAAGTTTGGAGGAGGTACAGCAAAAGCGCAGCATGCTGAACAATGTGTGCCTAAGCACAGCACCTCCTGCTAAAATGGTTTACAACGCTCATGCCTGATTTCCAAGGGCTCTACTCAGTTCCTCATCACTTGCCGTACCCCACCAGAGCAGAGGCTGCGAAAGGCTTTGAATGGCTCTGAACGAAACGAACGTTACTTACCACCACTATGTAGCGAGGTCTGTACTGAATAGTGCCAAACAGGCCAAGGATAACGATGATGATGTGGAGGAAGTTGGCTAGGATGGGGGCCCACTGGTAGCCCAGGAAGTCGAACACTTGCCTCTCTAATGCAGCAAGCTGGAAGGGAGGAGGAAAAGGAGAGTTACAGCTTCTAGGCTTGTGATGTTTATTCTCAAGGTGTTGATGTGCTCCCGGAGCAAATCACTGCAGCAGCTGCAGGTGTTTCTCCATTCCCAAAGCCATTTACTGCCTATGAACCAGGTCAGTAGGACAGACCATGTGTGTACACGCGCCCCCTCCCACTCTGTGCTCATCCCATCTCCTCCCACGGCTAAGCTAACGCAGACCGGTGAGCTCCAGTGCCTGTGTGGGGACACGTCCTCTGCTCCGTGCACTTTGCCATGGGGAGGTGGCCCTGGCAGAGGGCGGAGGTGAGCAGCGGGACGGTAACGCCTTGAACGGCTGCAGCGGGACTTTCAAGACCTCATTTATCAGAGCCTTCAGCATCACTCCATCATTCCTGACGCCTCTCATGTTTCTGTTCTCCAGCACACATCCATCAAAGTGAGAGAGGAGGAAACTCTCTTCGCCCCACAGAAAATGCTGCCACCCAGCAAAGAAATTCTGCAAACACGTCGGTTTTCCCGGAGGAGAGGCTGTGTTCCTCTCCCGCACTAATAACACGGTTCAAGGCTAGCACTATGTTTTAGAAATAAAACTCCATTACTGTTGAAGTGCTGGGCCTGATTTTCAAATCATATTTGCATAACAATGTGCTTTTCATCTGTAGCCATCTTCTGTGTATCAGCAACAGCCCATCACCTGGATCTGAACCGC